TTTTTTTTTGGTTGCAGCTGCCATTGTTTGGCGGGCCCAGGCTGGATTCGAACCCCCCACCTTAGGTGTATGTGGCTGGCATCTTAGCCACTTGAGCCACAGGCACCAAGCCGAGATGACCTACTTTTCAAGGAAATGCCCACATTGTCTACATGTATTTCCATGGGTAGCAGGAGGCTCCATGGAGTCTCTCGAGTGCTTCATGAGGGCAGGTTCCTGTGCATGCTTCTGAGATCAGTGTCTGTTATCCACATCTGTTTCCCTCTGAGCATCTCTGTGTTGCAGGTTCTCACCAGAAAATACAGAGCTTCTTACAACTTTAGGATTACTCTACTTACAGGTAACTCTTAACTCATTCATACATCCATGTTAGAAATGCTTTTGAGCTTGTGTGTGTGTTGGTTTTCCTGCATTTTGGTATTTAACACATTTTACTAGTGATCATATGAAGCATATAAACCTTGCTCTCTATATTCTTTTTATTTTCTTTGGAGACAGTCTTGCTCTGTCACCCTGGATATAGTACAGTGACGTCATCATAGCTCACTGCAGCTTCAAACTCCTGAGCTGATGCAATCTTCCTGCATCAGCCTCCCATTGAGGTTACAAGTATATGCCACCATGCCTGGCTGATTTTTTCCTATTTTTGGTAGAGACAGGATTCCCTCTTACTCAGGCTGGACTTGAACTCCTAACCTCAAGTGATCCTCCTTCCTCAACCTCCCAGAATGCTAGGATTATAGGCATGAGCCACCATGCCCAGTCTGTATTGACTATTATTTGCTAAAGGAATTAACTTAATTTTCTGCACTTAAATTGGAGGCAATTCTATTTTAGCATAGTGCATTTATAATTTTTGTCTAACCAAAGAAATAACATATATGGGAAATAACTGGTCTTGGGGGTGTTATTTTGTTGTAGGGGTAGAAACTGTGATACAAACTAGCACTTCCTAGGGGTTTGGTGCAGGTGCCATTTCTGTTCTTTCTTCCCAGCCAGAGTTTTAGAAGGAAAGAGAGAAGTCAAAGCATACTTTATCTAGAATAAGAAGTATTCTCTCCCCTCCACATTCTGGAGTGTGAACAGGATTCTGTTGGGCCCAGGCAAACCTGAGGGGCCTTACCTGCCCGCCCCCCCCCCCCAAATTTCCCAAGTTCCGCATTCAGCTGATTCTGCCTCCAGTTCAGTCTCTATGGTGGCCTTTATGTCTATGTCATTTTTCTTTTAAAGGAATCAAACGCTTAACCGTGACTCTTTCTAGACTTTGGCTTGGGAGGTTGGCCCCAAGGGAGAGGAGGCTAACCTGCCCATTTCCTACTAAGGGGCATTAGTGTGGAACAGCACTAGTGTGGCAAGAGAAGGTTCCTAGCAAGTAGATACTTAGACCTTATCAGGGTGCAGATCAACAAAGTAGGAGGAAAACCGTAAATATGGGGAGAATTTCAGGGTTTTATTTTTGTTTTATCCAATAACTGTAGCTTTTTTTTTTTTGGTTGATACAGTTTGGGCCGGCCGGGTTTGAACCCGCCACCCTCAGTATATGGGGTGTTGCCCTACTCACTGAGCCACAGGCGCCGCCCCAACTGTAATTTTTTTTTTTTTTTGATCATCAAGAGAACTCATAAAACACAAAAATTGGGGTATTTTCTGTTCTGGGTGTGGCTAGCCAGATCTTAACTGCCATATCCATGTCCCCTACTGATGTAAATTCTCTGGTTGGTATTTTCTCCAGCTTGGCATTTACCAGAAGGCATTTGAACATCTTGGGAATGCACTGACTTATGACCCTACCAACTATAAGGTATTGTAGGCTGTGAAACCCCAGAGCTTTCATATAGATGTTCCCACTGCTCCTAGAGGCGATCTGAACCTGGAAAGCCAGGGGAATAGCCTTCCTCATTTTAAATACCTGAGAAATTATGCTTTCTTAGAAAAATTATAAAAGGAAGCTCATCTGATTTGAAAATATTATAGTATCACAAGGATGGAAAAGCAGGTACCAGTGTACTCAATACTAATATGAAACCAGCAGATGAAACAACTACACTCCTACATAAGAGAAAAACAAAACTACATTCAAGTAGTGGGGGGAGAGGGAGGTGGGCGAGGGAAGGGGGAGTTTGGAGAGCTCTCATCTAACTGTCACAGTGTCAGAGTACATGGCACACCTCCTGGTAGAGGACTCAACTACAACTTGTACTTCACCTAACAGATGCAAACAGTGTAACCTAATTTTTTGTACCCTTATATCAATCTGAAATAAAACTTAAAAAAAGAAAATATTATAAAGCGTTGGTGCTCTGTTTCTTGTCTTCTAAAAGAGCACATTTATTATAATAGGCCTATAACCTCTACAGAAAGCAAAATCATATGTGTTACTTGGGAAATTAGCAATGTTTCCACAACTAGTCCAAAATAGTTCTGGTGAAGTGTCTTTTAGATTCCTAAAGAATTTGTTTGTTTGTTTGTTTTTTTGTAGAGACAGAGTCTTACTTTTTCGCCCTTGGTAGAGTACAGCGGAGTCGCTCCAGCAACCTCCAACTCCTGGGCTTAGGTGATTCTTCTGCCTCAGCCTCCCGAGTAGCTGGGACTACAGGCGCCCGCCACAACGCCCGGCTATTTTTTGTTGCAGTTTGGCCGGGGCTGGGTTTAGAACCCGCCACCCTTGGTATATGGGGCCAGCGCCCTACTTACTGAGCCTCCCTAGATTCCTAAAGAATTTGGAATTGCAGGCTCGGCGCCTATAGCTCAACCGGCTAAGGTGCCAGCCATGTACACCTAAGGTGGCGGGTTCGAATCCCCAGCCCGGACCCGCCAAACAACAATGACGGCTGCAACCAAAAAAT